ACTTATAAAAAATAAGTGAAATAATAAAGATTTTCATACTTTAAAATAAAAAAAAACTCGTAAGTAACCAACTATAACCTTTTTCTCAGTTTCAATCAGATGGAAAACAAGATGACATTGAGTTTTTGATAGAAACTCAATGTCTTATTTGATGACTTTGTACATGACGAGAACTCCAGAAAATGATTTCACACATTTTTATTTGCTAATAAAAAATATAATAATGATATTTTTTTTTCAGATATCTTCCAAGTCTCCAAATGGAAATAATGAATAGATGAAAGATGTATGATTTGTTTGACTACTCTTTATATTGTTTGATGATTTATTAAAATAATAATAATTGAATTGAAAAGAAAGCACACATTCCATGATCGATATTTTTTAATATTATTTTCATTTTTATTTTTTTCTTCACTTTTTCATTTAAATTATAATTCAGTAGTAAAAATAATACAGAAATTTCTTTCATTAACATTAAAAAAATCACTATACGTACATGGTTAACGTAATAATATTTTGGTATGATTTAATGCTTAATCTTCTATTCACTTTCAACAAATAAAAAAATCTCGTTAATATCATGTATAGATCAGAGAAAACTTATTGTGACGTATCCTACATGTTTAATTCTTCTTTTTTTCAAGTTTTTCGGCTGGTTGTATTAAAAAATTCCATTCTTAAACATCGATATAAATGAAGCGGTACAACAATAATTAGGCGTACATGAAATGAATATCTTCGGATGTATCTTCAATGTCGTTTCATGTTGGTCTGAATCTTTTTCAAAATAATATATGATAGTTGTTTTATACATTTCCAGTTATATATAAAATTCAATATTTCAATATGGTCTTTATTTTCTACAACGAATCTTTCCTAATTACAGTCGATACTGTATGTCAGAACTTAATCTTTTATTAGGAAAATTTAAAAATGGTACATGAATTTTTGTTTATATATCGTTCCTCCATTATTTTGTAATTAGTAGCAATCAGACTTTCATAAATCATTCATATTTCAAGACTAATTATAGCTTTCAAAGTAATGTATATTATGTGAGACTAGACAATATGTCTACTATGATTGTCGTTAGCGAAAACCTTAAACTTCTCAGTACTATCGATTCATCATATGCTCGATAAATGCATAGTCCAATTTTTTTCTGATGATCGAAGTACAGTGGTGATTACCTCTATCAACAATAGTAAATCATTTTTCTTAATCAACCAAGTAACATATCTCTAAACTATACATATTTTTATCAGTAACTGTCAATGATCTCTAAGTACACGTGGTTTATTGTGTGTTAACAATAGTTCTTTTTATTTAACATCATGCAGCAACCATTGAATCTCCTCTAATACTGTTGTTTAAAATTGTATATTGTGAATTGAAAAACTTATTATTGATGCAATTGTGATAACAAACATTAGTGATGATGAATGTGATCGATTCTGGTTTTCATTAGATGTGATGTATTTTTCTATTATCAACCCTAGTTTGAGTCTAACTGTTCGCATATCAAATTTTGATTCGATGATGGATTTCTTTAAAAGAGATTTATGATGGTTTTTTTCGAACATATTGTTGCTTCTAAAAAGAATGACAGGATAGACACTAGTTTTCTTTCAAATCCCGTAACAAAAAAACTAATCGTATACTCAATTGCAGCTTTGGAGTGTGACAAAGCGACGATCACCACCAACTGACGGAATTTCTTTTCATTTCTCGTCAGCAGAAACGAAAACAAAGAAATTATGGTACCTCGAGTGAGCTCCGAAAATTGATTTTTAACCATAGTCGTCATTTCTTCGCTGGTTTTCTGAATCCACTACGCACAGAACTGAATCTCTTTTATGTTGTACATATGTCGCAAAATTTGGAACATATTTGAAAATTAAGTAAATTCAAAAACATTAAATTTCAATTGTATGTAACTATATTATCGAATCTGAAATTGTTTAAATATTCATAGATGAATTGTTTACTATACATAACATAATCTTTGCCGATTGCAATGTAATTATCAAAACAAAGAAAAAAACTGTTCAAAGGTCATCAAGGATTTGTCTTTTCTTCTATTCGAATGTTTCAAACTAAATTTATGCTTTTAATCTATTGACAAACATAGTTTTACGTTTAAAGAATAGAGACATAATCATGCATAAATAAAGAACATTGTTTAGTTACTAAATACGATTGAGTAACAATGAATCTTCTTTTTCTTTCTTTTTCTTTTGATTGATAGTGCATATCTATGCAGATAATAAATACATGTTGACTTTCAAACAGAGTGTTATTCTTTTAGTCAGTATCATTACGATACTTGCTATTATTGCTATAATCACTGGTCTTTCCCCACTTTATTGGCCACGTGCAAAAACCTTATCAAACAAAAGTAACCCACAAGGTTAATTTTTGTTTTTTTTGTTGCATAAAACATAATGTCATCGATATATTTTAGATAATGCATCATTAATACTCATGGCAAAAAAAATCAATTCATCAAATTTAAAAACACAGATGGTCACTCGACTCAAAATAGTTACAAAGAAAATTCTTGAATTAACAACTGTTAAAGTTAACAGTACATCGATTATAACGCCGAATATACTTTTAGCAAACACTACTATCATTTAATAAACAATCGTATTCATGTAATGCATATACAACCTGAGAAATTATCAAGTAGTTCGAATAGATAAATATTTGTTTATGTACATTGTAAAAATAGATGAAAATATGAATTCATATTTTTTAGTTTGTATTTAATTAAAACTACAAAAAATAAAATCTATTCTCATTAAAAGCTGATATTTCTAAACCTATTAGTTCTCATTCAACCGTTTACATTCTCGATTTCTTATATATGTTATACTATTGTAAGAAAATTCTTGAGCTAATTCTTATAATCTCTTGCATTCTAGGTGCATTTGTAGCAGATAATCAAACAAAAAAAAACCTAATAATAAATCGTTAGATGAAATGAACATCAATCGAAGCGAAACGATGACTAATTGCCGAATGCAAAGTAAAAAATAACCATCATCCTCAAAAACTATAATCTCTACTAAAATATTAAATAATTCAAATAACAGAGTTCGAAAAATTTTGAACTAAACTAGTTTAAATATGTATATGAGCTTTGATCTAACTGTTACAGTGGTATTAGTTGTTTATTTTGTTTTCTCTAATTTTTATGACTTGTAGATGTAGAATCAGTAAACAACATCGACTTATAAGATGTAACTTTTGAAGATATGTTCCATATCATTCCATGACTTCTACTGATTATCTAAGAATCAAACAATACTAGTGGAAAAAACAAAACTTTTATTGCTTATTTAGTGACACGTATAACAAAACGATTAAAAACCAGCTCTGAAAAAAATAAATAGCTACAAGATGACGATTACAGACAGTTATTCAGATTACAAGTACTCTCACCCTTAAGATAGTACTATGTCAGTCAATATGTATCTAATATCCGTTCAAAAATACAATGGACTTTGTTGTAAGTTGAATAACTTTTGAAAAAAAACAGTTAGGAATCTACGATTTTAATTGTTCAAAAGCAGACGAAGAACTTTATCAAACTATGTAAAATTCATTCGTCCAACGTATATCGAAATGATCACTGCGTAGTCAAACTTTTCTCGAACAACGGCATGAAGATTTTTCATCACAAGTTTTATATCTGAAAGTTAGAATCAACACAGGAACCTTTTGTCTTCATGTTTATACAAGTTTCAGAATTTTCTCAACTTTCATTTTGCTGCTGAACAGTGTGAACGAATACTATGTCTAGTCGTTCTAAAAAAACACTTTTTCACATTTGTATTATTTACGAATTACATTTCCATATAGGTTTTCAACTATGCTGAATTGATTGATACATTTTGTTTTTCAATAAAAGTATTT